CTTTTTGAGACAGGGTCTCCCTGTAGCCCCAGCTGTCCTGGAACTCACTATGTAGACCAGGCTGGCCTTGAACTCACAGAGATCTGCCTGCCTCTGCCTCCCAAGTGCTGGGATTAAAGGCGTGTGCCACCACGCCTAGCCATTTCTCACAATTAATTTTGGTACAGTATTAGATGCCAGGAGTAACAGTGACCTAATAATGCATATCATTTCTATTTTTTATTTTTTTGTATAACCTCATGTAGAGTTACATTTGGCCATTAGCCAAGCATGGTTTTGCATCCGTAAAAAATATGCTAAATTGCCTAGCATGTGCAAAGCTCCTAAATTTGCTCTCTAGCAAAGAGCGTGGTAGCGAAGGGATGGGGGACCTAGTTCAGTGGTGCCTGGAATATATGAGACTCCAGGTTCTATCCCCAGCACCTTAAATGGCACAGAGCAGTAATTGAATAGCAGAAATTGCCTTTACACATGTACTTTTTTAACGTGCTTTTATGTAGCTGAGTTACCAGTAGGGATGGTAGGTGAGGCATTAGAACTGTCTTTAAGAATATACTCGGTAAGCTAGGCATGGTGGTGCACGCCTTTATTCCCAGCACTTGGGAGACAGAGGCAGGTGGAACTGGATCTCTGTGAGTTCAAAGCCAGCCTGGTCTACATAGTGAGTTCCAGGACAGCTGGGGCTACAGGGAGACCCTGTCTCAAAAAGACCAAAAAAACCTCAGTAAAGGAACTATATAGATGATTTCTACTGTTTATGCAGAAATATATATGCAGAAGCCATTCAGGAATTAGAATTCTCAGGAAGTAGATTGTTGTCAGAAATATAATGCCCTAGTCATTTAGTCAGCTGTTTGACTAATGAGTTAATACAATCCTGGTCTATGTAAAAATATATATGGTCTATATAAAAATATACATTTGTATTATATGCTTTTACCTGTTTTCATGGGGCCCAGCACTATTTTTAATTCAAAGTCAAAGGTGTTAAATTTTGGAGAATAATTAAATGACAGGTGGTTTCCTCACCACCACCCTTACATTGCCATGTGAAATCTTTCGTTTCAAAGTAATCATCTCTTCAGTCCACATTGTTAACTTGTTTTTTTGTTGTTTTTTTGCAGGAGGTGTATCGAATTCCAAAGAAAGTTCAAACTGAAAAGGAGAACACAGGTAGGTGTTCAGAAATGTTTGCGTTACAAATACTCTTTTGGTATTTATAGCATTAACACAGTGTTAAGAACTTCAGGTTTTTTGCTTTTGAAATTAACATATATAGGAAAGTGAAATATTTGATATAACAGATTGAAATTTTGCGCTTTTATTCTTTTTCTCTTCATGGCTTTTTGTCAAAGGAAATGTTTCTTACACTGCCTGTGTTGTTGCTTTGGTAACTTACCATCCATTCATTTGCCTCTCTAAGAATAGTTTATTTTCTCCCTCCTTCAGTGCTGGGAATTAAATCCAGGGCTTCACAAATGCTAGGCAAGTGCTCTACCACTGAGCTTCTTTCCCTATCCCTAAAATAGACATTTTTTTTTTGATTCATTTATTTTTATTTTATGTGTATGAGTGTTTTTGCCTGCATGTAAGTATACCATATCATACACTGCCTGAGGAGGTCAGATGCCCTGGAGCTGGAATTTACTGATGGTTGCTAGCCACCATGTGGGTGCTGGGAACCAAACCCAGGTCCTTTTGATCACTGAGCCCTCTCTCCAGCCCCTACAGTAGACATTCTTCTTCTTTTTTTTTTCCTTTAATTTTATTGTTTTTTTTTTATTTTTGGTCTTTTTTTTTTTTTTTTTTTGAGACAGGGTCTCCCTGTAGCTCCAGCTGCCCTGGAACTCACTATGTAGACCAGGCTGGCCTTGAATTCCCAGAGATCTGTTTGCCTCTCCCTCCCGAGTGTTGGGATTAAAGGCATGCGCCACCATACCCAGCTTATTATTTTTATTTTATGTGTACGTGTGTATTGCCTGCATGAGGTAGCTGCACCTGTGTTGTGTAATGCCTATGGATCAGAAAAGGGCATCAGAGTCCCTGGAACTGGAATTATAGACAGTTGTTAGCCTCCATGTGGGTGCTGGGAATCAAACCTGGGTCCTCTGCAAGGGCAGTCAGTGCTCTTAACCACTGAGCCATCTCTTCAGTCCCTAAAGTAGACATTCTTAAATCTATACTCCTAGAGATCTGTGGAAGAATGCTTATTTCAGCTGTTTTGTGCACATTCCTATATGTCTGTATTTTCCTGGGGAAGGTTAAGAACTTGTATCAGATTCTCAGGGAATCAATGACCAGTGAAAAGGTTCAGAATCTTTGTTACAGAATAGATGGTACTAGTCTGGTATAACCCTCCAGGAGCTACATAGGATGATCTTTAGTCTTTTCAGGAGCAACCTATTAGGCAGCAACTGCAGTCTTCCCCTTGCCTGTAAAACCCCATAGCTCAGTCTCAGGCTTTTAGAATAAGGAAATACTTTTAAGTTTGTTTTGATCCTTCAGTGTTAAGCAGCTAAAAATTAGAAACTTTAAAATTCTGGAGAATTATGAAATGCTTTAAGAAACAAATAGATTACCTTTGTTTTATGGGGAAATCAGCTTGAATGAGCCAAATGGCTTCTCTGCCTCACATATTCTAAATAGAGTCAGAATGTAAACTCTTGACATGAGTTCTTTCTTAAATTTCACCAGGTATATTGAAATAGCATCATTTAAAAGAAATATCAGGCATTAAATGAATTTACGACAGGAAACAATAGCCATAAGTAGATAAAAATAAACTTAGTAATGCTACCTCACAGAAGACTGTAGTATCAACACCTTGTGTAACGGACCAGTTAATTATACAGCTTTGCTTCCCTTTTCCCCTCTCCCCATGTTTGAGGATGTTAGGCAAGTGTTCTATCACTGAACTAAATTCCTAAGCTATACAGAATTATCTACTAGCATATGAGGTAAATGAATTCTGTTAGCTTCCCACTGACAGATGCTCAAACATGAGTTTTTGGCCAACTAAAAGGAAAACTAGGGGTGGGGTGGGGGCTGAGAGATGACTCAGTGATTAAGAACACTTGCTGCTCTTTCAGAGAATCAGGGTTCGGTTCTTAGCACCCACATCAGGTAGCTCATAACCACTTATAATTCTAGCTCCAGGAGATTGGACATTCTGTTCTGACCTCAGTGTGTACCCACAGACATGTGCACATATACACATAAATAAAAAATAAAATAGCTTAGTGCCAGGCATGTTGGCGCACACCTTTAATCCCAGCACTTGGGAGGCAGAGGCAGGAGGATCTCTGTGAGTTCAAGGCCACCCTGGTCTACATAGTAAGTTCTAGGACAGCTGGTGCTACAGGGAGACCCTGTCTCAAAAAGACCAAAAAATTAATTAATTAATTAAGTAAGTAAGTAAATAAAATAGCTTCATAAATGAGTGAGAACCAGGGCTGGTGATGTTGCCCAATCGGTAGAGTGTCTGATATGGACAAAGCCCTTGGTTTGATCCCCAACACCACATAAAATTAGATATAATGGTTCACACTTGTAATCTCAGCATTTGGGATGTGGAGGCAGGAAAATCACAAGTTGAAGGTCATTCTTAAGTTCAGCATTGGGGTACAGAAGACCTTGTCTCAAAAATAAAAGAACTATGAGAATAGCTTGTGCAAACCTAATCCTACTGATGAAATGTGGTAGGGAAACTATAGCATGTTTTTCTGAAAAGACAAAAAGGAAAACCCTGCACATATTAAAGCCAGGCTTGGTGATATAGACCTGAAATCCCACCTATTCAGGGAGGATAAAGCAGGAGAAACTCAGATAAAGCATCACAAACTCAGAGCTTATCTAGGCCACAGGTAGTGTGTTGAAGGCCAGCCTGGGCAATTAAATAGTATTCTGCCTTAAAAAATATTGGGGACTAGAGATATGGCTCAGTGGTTAAGAGCATTGTCTGCTCTTGAAGAAGACAATGGTTTGATTCCCAGCACCCACATAGTGGCTAACAACCATCTGTAACTCTAGTTTCAGTGGATCCAACGCCCTCTTCTGACCTCTGCCAGCATTGCATGACACAGGTGCACTTATATAGATGCAGGCAATATATTCAAATACATAAATAAAATTAATAAGAAATTAAAAAATAAAAAATAGTAAATGTCTGGAGAATACAGTTTTTCCTTAGGTTTAATTCCTAGTATGGGGGTGGGAGGGGGAGACAAATGACACAAAGCCCAGTACATGAGAATGTGCTTTGTGCTATGAGTCAGTAATGTTTTTTTAAAGAAATTCTCTGCTTAAGAGAACAGTCTATAATACCAGTTTATATTGAAATGTTTGGTAGTGCCTGAAATGGTCAATTGTAGATTGTTTTAGGAAGTTGAGAACTGAGTAGGTATGATTAGTAAAAAATAGTATTCAGGTCAGCTTTTCGAAGCAGTAGCAGTATAATTTAATCAGTAAAGACAGTAAGAACCCTTGTAGGCAAAGAGTGACACTGTGAATATTACTAGTACCATCTTTGAATAGGTAGTTGATGTCCTTTTTTTTTTGGTGTTGTAGTTCTTTGAGTTTAACTTTCTAAGTTAACACCTGTATTTAAGATACTTTCCTTTTTAGTTTTTTTTTTTTTTTGTCTTTTTGAGTCAGGGTCTCCCTGTAGCCCCAGCTGTCCTGGAACTCACTATGTAGACCAGGCTGGCTTTGAACTCACAGAGATCCAGTTCCGCATGCCTCTGCCTCCCAAGTGCTGGGATTAAAGGCGTGTGCCACCACTCCCCGCTTTTTTTTTTTTAAAGAGACTTGTTGATGCTTCTATGAAGCATGTCAGTTTTTTTCTACTGGCTACAAATACAGTTACAGGAGCAATTGAAAACTTTTCACATTTTGAACTAATGGGCAAACTGCCTGGCTAAATATAGCGGAAACATCTTTCATACATGTACTCACAGAACTAGTTAGAAATATTAAGGACTTGAACTGAGATTTTGGTGGGCTAAAGAAAAAAAGCATTCATGGAAGAGAGTTTTAATAAGAGTGACTACACATAAAACATGTATCTCATTCAAAGTAAGGGCTGGATGTTTATATTTGTTGGATAGAAGTTTTATTATACACTTGATGTGCTCTTACTTTACTAAAGTAAATTGTAAAAATCTTTCCCTCTCTAGTAACTGAACGAGGAAGGGATGCTATTGTCTTCAGAGATCAAACAGCAGCACCAAAGACTCCTAACAGATCAAGAGAGAGAGACCCAGATAAGCAAACTCAAAACAAAGAGAAAAGGAAACGAAGGGGTTCCCTCTCACCACCCTCCTCTGCCTATGAGCGGGGGACCAAAAGGCCAGATGACAGGTAAGTGACCAAATCGAGTTTTTGTCATTTGAGCAAATCAAAAAATACCCAAGTCAGGCACAGCCAGGAGTGGTGGTGCATGCCTGTAGTCCCAGCACTTGGGAGGCAGAGGCAGGCGGATCTCTGTAAGTTCAAGGCCAGCCTGGTCTACCTAGTGAGTTCCAGGCCAGCTGGGGCTACAGGGAGACCCTGTTTCAAAAAGACCAAAAAAAAAAAGACATGAAAATAGAGGGGGTA